TGGGATATCCTAGAATCATGGGATATTAATTGGAGAATCCCACTGATATAGAAATTAGTTTTTTAGGAAAAGTTAGTTTCCTATTTTATCACCCTGTAAATTAGCTCTATAATTCTATATAAAGTTGTGTATATGCTCCTTCCAAGACAATACAATCAATTCATTTTTTCTCAAATTTTCACAGATAGGTAATGAAGGTCACAATGGAATGATGCATGGAATGATAATAGCTTCAACACGCTTAAATCATTAGTCTTAGCTGATTTTCTTTGTTTTGCTTCTTCTTTTGTAGTATAATTAGTTTATCAAAAAAACATATGTTTAGATTAATGTCCTTGGAATCCCACTACACACATGGAGTACCCAAACCTTTAGAGCAATTGGTGATGCCTGTGGTAGACTTGAAAGATAGGATTTTCATAATAGGCTCTGGTATTAGGTACAATTCACAAGGATCCTTGTTGAACCAGAAGAGCTAAAATTAATTCCAGGAAGGATGGATTTGTTCTAGTCTAGAGAGAAATTTGATCTATAGGTCATGGTAGAAGGTGTCAATCCCACTTTTAGCCCTTTGAATTCAGAAGAGTGAGGGGGGTGGGGGTGTTGAAGAGTCTTAAAGAACTGTTCAACTTAAAAGCTTAAGCTGTTATGAGGTCCCTGAATAGGTTATTACTAGCGAAGTAACCCGTGCTGAGCATGGGAGAGTGATACTGGACGGGGCATTGAGTCAACACCAACTCTAGTGACATCTTTACCACATAATCTCGTTGATGAAGGGACAAAAGTCCACATCGATCGACCAATAGGTAGACTAACCTGAGTTGTGGGCCTCTTACTTTATTTGGCATTTACTCGTATGATACTACTACCTACTCTAGTGCCCGATACCGAAGATTAGGTTTTAGGTGCCTAAGCGAGCTAGGAGTAGACACAAAATTTGGCAGCTTGTTATGGCGTTCTTCTGAAAGACGTTAGGCCTCTAATGGTTCGCTCGGTGGCCCCTAAAAGAAATCGCTGTTGAATGGGTTGGTTGCCGTCCCTGCCCGCACCGTCACCAAGTTAATAATCTTCACCTGCTCTACTCCTTTGTAAACCCCTCCACCGCCACCTTGAGGATGCTGGCTCTTGTTCAACAGTAGCTGCTGGTTCTCAAGTATCACAACAGCGTTATTCTGAAAGGCAATTTCACGGTTAACATTAGCTGGTACGACAAGCTCTCCCCGGTCCAGCGCTCCATACTCGTCGACTTTCTTCAATCCCTGAACGCCCCTCAACTTCGTGCTACTCCCTTTGTCCCGTCGTGGTGGCGATCTATTGAAAGTGGGTTCTAGCAAACTCATCTTGGGGAGGCAAATCTTGGACGAGGAATGCTCTCTCGGGAAGTCTCTCAAGACCTCTCACATCGTTGCTTTGGCTGCCAAAGGAGACCAGAAGAACGCGATCAACGTGGTCTTCACGACCAAAGATGTTGTTGTAGATGGGTTCTGTATGAACCGTTGCGGTACCCTATGATTTTGCTTAGGAAACTACGGGAATAAAGAAGAGTAAGTTCGTCTGCGTGTGTGTCAGTAATTCTTAGACTCAATGCTTGGCCAGTGTGCTTGGCCATTCCACTAGCCAATTTACAGTCTACAGACACCGTAGTTGGTGCCTCCGAACGGCGATGTCGGGGTTGATGACAAGATTATTAACCAGGCAACGGTGCTGGCAGGGACGGTGACCAACCCATTCAACAACTATTTCTTTCAGGGGCCATCAAGCACACCATTAGAGGCCGTGCGCCAATGCCCTATTCGAGTCTGTTGCTGATCACCATTTCTTCGATAGTGACAGCATGAACATGGTTCATGCTGTTAGCATCCAAGACGGCTCGGTTGCCTTGAATGCAATTGGGGAAGAGGACAGGTACCCTATCATAGAAGAGGAGGAGCCGAGCAATTCCAAAGTGGCCGTGAAGCTCACCAATGGCCTTCGGAAAGACAGGGCGGCCAAGGGCTCATTCCTGAACGAAACGCTGCGTCTCAGTGAAGTGGCAAGTGTAGCTAGCCAAGCCGTTGTGGATGCTAACAGCATGAACCATGCCGTCACCATCGAAGAAATGGTGACTGGTGAAGGGCTCGAACAGGGGATCGGCGTCATTACGATTGTAGATGCCTTGAATGCAATCGGGGAACGGGACAGGTGGACCATGACTCCTTTTGAACAGAGGTTTTGATTTTGTCGGTTTTGGCATAGGGAATGCTATTTCCGCATGGAAAAAATGATTTCTTGTGCGGATACCTTTTCCTACGGGAAGAGAAGGCTACGTTGCCTAAAACAAAGGTCCATCCCACCTTAGTATATATAATAGATTATACAACATCCCTCACATGAAAGCCAATTGGGCTTAAAGTGTGGACAGGCACATGCCCACCCATACCTTGTGCTGAAATTTGATTAATTGTAATGGCAGCGAGAAGGATTGAATAGTTGCTGACTTGGTTAAACAAGCTTTGATTATTGATACCATCCCAAGGAACCATTCAACCTAAAAGCTTAAGCTGTTAAGTGAGGTCCCTGAATAGGTTTTTGTTCTCTAACAAAGAGAAAAGGAAACCTCCAAGTGAGGATAGGTCGTCATAGGGAAATAGAGGAGGTGAACATGTGGGAATGGAAGCAAATGGTCAAGAGGTTAGGGATGAGTTGAAGGGTCACATAAGATAAGGGCAAAAGTGTAATTTGTGAGGAACCTGATGATCAATTGAAAAGGTGATTTTTTGAAGGAAATGGGCCTAGTAATTTTAATGGGCCTCTGGCTGGCTCATCTAAAGTGGTTGGTCAAAATAGAAGGGTTCGGTTTGGGATTAACTTACGTTGTTTGCTTCCTTCTTTCTCTTTTACTTTTTTTTTTGATTGGTTCTCTCTCTTTTACTTGAGTTTCTTTCGAATATTTTTCATTACCTAGAACTGGCTTAACTTGTTAACTCCTACTTTGCAGCCTGCAATTGCAGTTGCTATCAGGGAGCAACTTTATGAGGTTAGATTTTTTACCTTTCTTTTGGAATGGACTTATTGAATCCAATTATTTGATATTATATCTTGCATAATTTTGTGATAATGTATGACAATAATATTTTTGGTTGCTATATTCTAAAAAGAGAACTTCTATGTTTTAGATTGCAATTCAGAGTGTTGCCTCTGCAAGGGAAAGCAGAATAAGCAAGAAAGGTCGCCGTGGAGCAGAACATGTCACAACTAGGTATGCTATGTAACAATCTCGTTTGTTTGGTATTACTTCTAATTGTTCTGAGGATCAAAGCATGAGTCTGACCTCTTCTTCGAGGTGCATTTTGTTAGAAATGTGTGTCAATGCTTGACATCTCTTTTTTTTTTTATTTTTTCTTTTGAGAAGACATGCTCATTTATGGTTTTTCTTTTATATACTTGCAGCAAAGCAGGTGGCACTGTCTTGGACTTGGTGAAGCTATTTGGTGGAAAATCAAGTGTCCTTCGGTAAGATTGATGTCAATTTTAGAAGTTTCATTTGATGTTATTGTTTATGAGTCAGGGAAAATCAGTTTGGTGCACTGTTCATGATCTAGCTGTAATGTCTAGATACTTCTTTTTCTTTTATTTTTGTGATAATTGTGTTTAGATACTTCTTTTGTTACAAATACATCAAGATATGAACCAGAAAGCTTTCTTCTTTTCTCATATGAGGGTCAAATATATTTCACCAACGTTTTCAACCTGCTGTTGACCCGGATAGTCAAACTGTCACCTGGCCCTATTTCCGGGTCCAGTTTTTCTAAAACCCACCATTGGACCAAAAACCGTTGACTTGGCCAAAACCCGTCCAACCTGAGAGGTTGATCTGTTGACCCACTTGACCTGGTAACCTTGTCATGGGTTACAAGTTGCATGCATCAAAGCTTCTGGAGGGCATAATTTTGTGCTCAGTTTTCCAATTGGGGTGATCTTCTTTCCTTTTTATTAACTTGGGGCAACTTTTTGAGATCTACACGTTCTAAGGTGCTGAAGGTGACTTGCCCTGCTATTTTTGCCAAAATAATGCCATTTTTTTTGCCTCAAATCCCAATTTTAGTTTTTTTTTATTTATAAAAATTAAAAACTGAAACAAAAAATGTAACTTAGACATAAAATAATACATATATTACATGTGGAATGTGATTATATATTATTTATTCTATATAATATATTTATACATATATACTTATATTTATGTATATATTATTGATGATGTGTCACGGTCTCACCTGTCCAACCCATATGGTTGAACCTTTTACCTGTGACCCGGAGGCAAAAACGGTTCAGCCTCTGGGTTAGTTTCTAAAATGCTGTATTACATGCTTTACCAGTTTCTCATCATCCATAGTCCATACTATACATCTATATGATTGCAGTTCTTAAAAATAACATCACACATGGGGCTATATAGATCTTACAAACCATTAATCCATAACATGTGCGAAAGTATATTTACTCCACATGCAGAAGTGACATTGATCTTATGATTCATGACATATTGACTTAATCCTCTAATTTATCAACAATTTTTTGTCCTAAATCTTAGCCTCTCAGTCTTGGGATGATGCTTCAGATTTCTGAATTTTAGTAACTTTGATGTTTGAGGTACCTCAGTTACCAGATCATGAAGTGGGGATGCACCCCATAATTGTAGAATGAAAAGCTCCAAATTTTGGAGAATAGTCTACACGATGCAAACAGATAAAGCAAATTGCATTAACCAACAGCATTACAGACTTGCTCTGCTACTGAGTCCATACCTCAGAGGCCAGATCTTGGAGTGGAAATGTTACAAGGACACCCCACCCTTGGAGATCACTTCTGAGTTGATGTCTTCATGAATTGACTTGTCTCTAACTCTTCAAAATATGTGTTGGATTCAGCAACAGTGTGAGTCAGGTGGATTTACCAAAACACCCACTGTATTGACTGACTCTTCAAAATTACATATGCTTACTTTAAATGCCTCTATGTAACAATGGTCCAACTGTTTAAACCATCCCAGACTTTAGTATTTGTAGTTTCCCAAGTTACATAACTTATTACCTATTGTTTATTGGATTTCTTTGCCCAATTAACATTGAAATTAGGAAAAGAATGAAAAAAAAACTAGTGTGGCCACATAGAAAATAGGCAAAGGATGTGAGTTTAACATGTCAATTGTAAAATGTAAGTTAGCTATTTAACTTGTTATGTGGATTATGCCTATATAATTATATGGGTTAAGAATATAATCATGATGTTTAATGATATAAAATAAAATATTTATGTGATGTGTCTGCAAATGCTACTTTTTGAGTTTACTGAGTTGGACTCCTAGAAATGTATTCTGATTCCACGCTCTGTCCATGCAACACTAAGAAATAAAAGACTTCAAAATTTTGAATTTGATGATCATATACAGACATATAGAGCAAAGTACATGAACTACATTAAAAGCTTGAAGTAATAGCGTTGGCACCTACAAACAATTAATTGTCAAAGACATCATAGATCCAATTTTCCATTCCTATGGTCCGGTAGATTATTTATTTATCTTTCCATCACAAGTTCAAGGACTCCTTATTTGACATTATCATAAGCGGGTTAGCAGGCAGCATGTGATATAAGTGTGGACCGCTCCTCAGGGAATCATTAAGCTCAACTTTATGGGTACACCTTAGGGAACCAGAACCCTTGGGAGCTGATGGCTTTTTCAGAGAGAGAGAGAGAGAGAGCAGAGAAGAGAACATTATGGTGTATTTTGGCCCTATGGCCATTGGTGATTCCACCAGAGTGGAGATTTGGTGCGATTTCAGGATCTTCTGCTTGCACTCTTTCTAGGGTTTGAGTGACTTGAGGTTGTGTGGGATTTAGATTGTTGGGTGGATGCTAGATGGGCCCTATGGTCCATGGACTTTGGTTTTAACAATCTTACCTTCTGGGTTTAAAACTATTGGCTAAAAACTGATTATAATCCAGCCAAACTATCGAAAAGACATGAATACATGTTATGTCCTTGGTTTTTAGCATGATGAAGTATGAAATAATCAGAGAAAGGTATAGTTATGATTTCCAATATTATAAGAAGCAACAGAAAAGATCATACTTCATCAATATGTCTCTGTTTTCTCCCTACACTTCAGAAGTCATTTTTTCCCAGTTTATTTATTTATTTTTTCTTTTCACTTTGGCCTTCTCTTCTCAATATATATAACTAGTCAAAACTGAAAACTATCTATCTATGATTCAACTGCTTCTATATGTGCATCTTTTATTTGTATCCTTGATTTTCTTAATTACTGCTTCTCTCACTGCCCCCCTCCCCCTTGCATTCACTAATTCTACCTACTTTCATTTCTCGTTCTGCTTTTAAAGTTATAACTGTCACATTATCTAAGCAATCTACAACCAGGAACTGACACTTCAAACCTATTTTTGTCTCTCATGAATCAGGAAAAGGAAGGAATGGGAATTGTATGAACCTATTATTGATATTTTATCAAATGAGGAAGTGAGTGCTCTTGATGCAAGGGAAGAGCGGAATGCTCGGTGACATTGACTTCTGCATTTACACTTGTAACATGTCTGCCAAAAGTTAAAAGTAGCAAGCACCATTTGATAGCAATTAGGTGCAAACCCAGTGGGTTCTTATTTTTCTGTAGTATAGGCACTTTTTCTAGGAGAAGCAGAAATTAATAAAACTGGAATACAGAACACCACAGTAACTTTCTGTTTATGCTTGTATGGATATTTACCTCTGAATCTATTATTTATTTTTATATATTTTAAGTTTGTAGTTGTGTGGCTTAAGGGAAGGTACAATCAAAAGATGATGGATATTTAATGTCATACACATACACAAGACTTCAATTTTGTGTAGCAAGACAAGATACCAAATGCATTACTACAATGGGGAAAATTATAAATCCTCATTATCACTGTATTGGATTTTTGAAAGGTTCCAATAATTGATATTTGGTTTAATCCTTCATAATTCATATGTTGCAAGATGGAAGAAAGTATTCTCCATATATTTTGCTGATGCATCAAACATTTTTAAGAAACTTGCTTAGCGTTGGTAAACTGATGCCTATAAGTTATGGGTTCAACTATGATGCTGAAAGACATGATAGCAGAAAAACTTATAACCAATCAACTGGCATCATCATAGTGATAACCAATCAGGTGGATTTTCATCAAAATTCATGGGGCTTTGATTGGTCAATGCCTTTCCGGTATCATGCCCTTGGCATCATAGATTTTTCCGGTGCAGATTTGGTAAAACCCAAGTTCTAACGAAAAGGATTTCTAGAGGTGCCAATATAATATTGTGTACCATGGTTAACGCTTCAATAAATATGAAAATGTTTTGCCAGCTATCTACAGTGAATGTCTGACCTTTTTTCTTTATTTTTGGGTAAACTGAATATGTAATTAGGGGATAGCGACACTTAGCCCCGCCAAACTTCTTTTGCGACAGGGAGCCCCCTGGATACATCTAGATGCATAAAACTAAAAAAAAGTAACCTTTGTTTGGAGATGGGGGCCCCCCTGGTTTATGTTCCTAATACTAATGTTTTATGACTTTTAACTCAAAAAGTCTCAACCAAACATAAAGTATATGTTTGGCATTGATGCTGCAGATACAGCACTAAAATGGAGAAAACGGTGATGCTGATGTGTGGGTTGAAAGTAGTGTTTTCTGAGAAAACGGTGTATTTTTTTTTTATGTTAGAATCGTTGTTGCCAGGTAAGGATGTTTCCTGGAACAATTTTTTCTGTTTGGTACCGATGTTTCAGGAAACGTTTTCAGCACTGCTACCCATTATCCAATGCCACATCATTGCTACCTTACATTCCTGTTGGCAGCAATGAGCTGCAGCTCAAGGAAACACCAAATTCAGCATTGCTTTAAGCCATGCCTTCCTGATTTCCAAGGCATAGCTTTGGAGCACCGTTTTTTTTTATGGAAAAACGGTTCCAAACAAACACCCGTTTCCAGGAGCACTGTTTTTTCCGACGTAACGTTGATATGGCACCGTTTTTTGGAGCAACAACAATGATGCCAAACAGATGCAAAATTGGCGTTTAAACTCAAATATGCTTAAGCGGCACTGATGTAGCAGCGTTTCAATTAGAAACATCCATGGCACCAAACATCACTTGAACGAAATAAAATGGAAAAGCAATAGATATTATATTAGGGATTAGGGAAAGCTTCCAAGCAAATGATAAAAATGGATAAGGAGACAATAGGTTTCCTTGTCTTCTCAATAGATGATGTCTCTATATCGGACATATCTTGGATGGTGTCGGATATGTCTCGGGTTGAGACACTATTGGATTACTTGATATATATATATAGTTTTCAACAAACGTATCCACGAGTCCATGCTTTCCTGTGTTATCGAATCAGATTCTTAGACAAGTGTAGAGTTGCAACTAACTCCTGTATCCACGACCATGCAACACTGGCATAAAATAAGCATCTGAAATTGCATAAAATAACCATTCTTGAACATGACTCTGGAAGTCCTCTGTGAAAACAACAGCAGGGGAACTATTAAAAGAAAAATGAAATGTCTGGTTTTTGAATGATCTGTATTGCCCTTGGTTTTGTGTTATCCAGTAGACTATGCTCTATTATCATTCCATGCCTACAGGCTGTAGTCCCTAAATGAGACTCAACACACTGTACCCCAATGAGTTTGTAGCTGCACTTGGATTTTTTTTCCTAAGCCCCAAGTCCCAGGACTCCCTACCGATCCTTCTAGCGTATTTTCCCACTTATAACGAACAGGGGACCTTTATGAGTATTTTGACCATCCAATTCTGATGGTAATCTTCATCTTATCCTGCTTCTCTTCTTTCCCTCTCTTCTAACAGAAGGTTATTGCCTTATTGACAGTGGTTCTGTGTTTTGTACTCTGACAGACGAGTTCTGATTAGCAACACTTGGTCTTTATGGCTCTGTTATGGTTGTTATTATTTGACCATTTTTAGATTAATCACTTCACTTGTATGGTGTATGCATTCAAGGAGATATCGTTGCTACTTGCTAGGGTTTAGTTCGAGTTTGGTGAACAACTTATTCAACTTATTAACTTAATGTAAGAATGGGACAAGCAAAATCTTTCAAATGATATGATACTAGTTTGGTTCATGTGAAACCCAATTCACCAATAGTCCCCACAAGAACATGAACCACTTACAAACCGGTGAAACCGATTTATATCCCTAACCACAATCTCTCTCTCAAAAATCTCCGACGCCAACTTCATTACTGTATGACAATCTCCGCAAGTTCTCAAGTTCTTTTTAATTCTAATTGGGGCGCCTGCAGGAAGACTGAGTAATCCAAAAGCAAGAGCTAGTTTCTCACTGTGATACCACAAGCTCTGCTCCTTGTAACTTTCAACGTCGTTAACTGCAAACTGGGTTTCAGCCACATATCCTTTCTTCTTCACCAACTCTATCATTTTGCTCAGCATCTCATAGATTTCATCCGTCCGAGAATGTGATTTATCGTGTACAGTGAACACATGAGTTGTGTTCTTAATATCAATCCAGCTACAGCCAGGCTCCTTTCTCGCCCCATTAATTCCCATTAATCTCCTTATCTCCTTGGCCTCTTCCAGCTTCCCATAATGCGTATAAATGTTGGAAAGGAGCACATAATTCCCGGGGTTATTTGGTTCCATCTCAAAAAGCTTCTCTGCAACTTCTTTTCCCATGTCAAGATACCCATAATTCCTACATGCTCCGAGCAAAGCTCCCCAAACTGATGGGTCTGGCCTAATTGGCATTGATTCGATGAACCTCTTGGCTTCGTCCAACCGACCAGATCGACCGAGCATATCAACCATGCAAGCATAGTGTTCAGGACCAGGTTTCATCCCATGAACTCTACCCATGGATTCGAAGTAGCCAAAACCTTCTTCAACGCGCCCAGTGTGGCTACAAGCTGAAAGAACACAGACAAAAGTAATGTAATCAGGTTTAATTCCCTCTGCAAGCATCTCCTCAAACAATTCAATCACTGAGCCTCCACAGCCATGTTGTTGGCAGGCTGCGATCATGGCTGTCCAGCATACCACATTCCGATCCTCAATCTCTTCAAACACCCGATGTGCATCAATCAAACTCCCGCATTTAGCATACATAGTGATCAAAGAACTTCCAACACATGTATTTTTCATATATCCAGTTTTGATTATCTGATCATGGATCAAAGTTCCTTGGTCCAATGCCGCAAGATTAGCGGATGCATGGAGGGCTGTTGAGAACGATGCCTCGTCAGGCGATATCCCTTCCCTCCTCATGACCCAAAAATAATTGCAAGCTTCTTCAAATCTGTCGTTCTGCACGCAGCCCATGGCCATTACATTCCACGTAACAACATCTCTATCTGGTATGGACCCGAACAACTGGATAGAATCTTGGAAGCATCCACATTTATTATACATATCCACAAGCGAATTCTTCACATAAGCTAAATGCATCAACCCATGCTTAACAACCACCCCGTGAACCTGTCTCCCAAAGTCCAAACTGCCGACGTTTGCACACGCGCTCAATACGCTCGAGAAGCTCACTTGATCGGGACTGACTGACTTGTCCCTGAGAACCTCCTTGAAGACGTCTATCGCTCGATCAAAAATCTTGTTATGTGAGAACCCCACGATCATTGCGTTCCAGGAAACGAGGTTTCTCTCGGGCATTTCATCAAATACCTTCTCCGCTGAGTCCATATTGGAGCATTTTGCGTACATATCAATCATGGCACTACCCACAAATACATCGGTTCCAAAGCCGTGTTTATGAATCAGTGAGTGTATTTGTTGACCATGAACAATGATGGTGGTATCGGCGCAAGCGGAAAGGATGGCGGAGAAGGTGAAGTGGTTTGGGCGGGTGCCAGAGCTCCCCATTTGGTTGAAAAGGGCCAAGGACTCAAAGGGTTTATGGGCATGAGAAAGCTGCGCGATAAGAGAGGTCCAGGTGACAATGTTCTTGGTGTCATGGTGGATGTTGGAGAATACAAGGACACTTTGATTGATATGGCCGGAAATAGCATACAAGTTGATGAGGTTATTGAAGAGAAAGGTGAGGGAAGAGTAGTTGTTTATGATGATTTGGGCATGGATTTGGGTTGCATGTCGAAAGCTTTTGGTCTGAGCCGTGGAGTTGAGGAGAGTATTGAGATGGGTAGGAGAAAAGGAACAAGTTTGGTGGGAGGAGGATGTGAAAGGGCTTGAGGTGGAGTGAGAAAGGGGTGTAGTAGTAGAGGTACTACGGTTGTAGCATCTTCTTACGTTGAACAAAGCTTTCATAATATGGTTAATAGAATAGTTCAGGCCTTGGGGGGGGGTTGGTATCGGTGGAAATAGACTAATAGCAATGGTTGGTTAAGTGTGAAGTGGCTCCACTTCTCTTTGTGCTTATTATTGGCCACATGATCTGGCTTAATGAGTATGATTAATGGATTCCCTCACTCTCGTATGAAAATTATTCCCAATGCGTGGGACGTTGTCGTTACGTTGGTTAATATAAGCTTAAAAATTGAGAGGATCAAGCCCAAGCCCATATGACCCAGTCCATCTGTATTTTGTAGCGACTTTCGACCCGACGGCCATGCATTTGCATCAGCTTATCTATCTAATCTATCTAAATATATTAAAGGAAGGTTTCCATGCTATAACTCCACTATTTAAACACGTGGTTTTCTTAGAAGTTGTTAAAGCCCACAACCCATTATCACTATTTATTTAAGTGGCCTTCTCAATTTTTAAAAAGCTAGACACATGGCAGTTTTCGAGAAATTCCTATTAAATCCACAACCCACTACCACCATCATTTAGACATGTGGCATTCTCATTTTATTAGAAAGTAGACACTTGGCATTTTCTGAGAAGTTGCTGTTAAAGTTCATAGCCCACTACCACCATTTAGACATATGGCATCCTATTAATTCAAGAAATAGGATTCAAAAAGTGGGTAGTTTCACTCCTAAACATTCTCAATATACAATTATTTATTAGTTTAATACATGTTCATCCATACTCTATTAAATGCAAATGGTAGGACCCATTAAAAAATTACCATTGACCCATGTTTGTTTTTAAATGATTTTTTCAAAAAGAAAACTTTATTAATTACAAACTTGATTTAACTTTTAGGAAGCAACCTAATTTAACTTTTAAAAATAAATAACTCAAAATAGATTTATTAGATAAATAGTAAATACCAAATAAAGTGGGTTATTGTTTACCAATAAGATCTCATTTAATATCTTAAATCAAATTAAAAAACATAAATTAATAGTGGATTTCAAATAAAATAGGTCAAAATAGATTGCCAATTACAAAGATGTAAGACCCATATTAGTTTTTTTTTTAATTTAATTTTTGATAACTAAATAGTAAACTTCATAAACTCATTGTGCATTAAAGTTATGTAAATTACCAGAATTTAGTGTAATTAGAAAATCTATTATAACAATAATACTCATTAATTAAATACTGAATATTAATAAAAATATGAGAAAATAATCATCACCTTTACTAATTAAAAATAATATTAATCTTTAACTAAATAATTAAGTAAATATTACATTTTGATTAATCTTTGAATTTTTACAGTAAAAAATTTAATTGTAATAATTATTATGATATTAAATACTTAATAATAACAATAATAATTAATTAACAAAATATTACAATACAAATAATCTTTAAAAAAATAAAGAAATAATAATAAAAATTTAGACATTTTATGTTTAAACAAAATAAAAATTATCAAAAAATACTAGCCCCATCTTAGTACGGGGTCATTCTCTAGTTAATATATGGGATTCAAAAGTTGGGAGGGACATATAGGAGTATCAGCATATATATATATATATTTATATTCAAATCTCACACAGACCTCCTCTTCCTCACATTTTTCACACGTGGTTACTTTTTTTAAATGAAATCATAAAAAATGTAAGAAGTCAAAATAAAAAAAAAATCTTTGGTCTTACTTGTCTCTAATAAAATCTCTCTCTCTCTCTCAATATTCAATGTTTCTAACATCTTCTCCCATTCCATTGAATCCTAAATCTATATCTAAATATTAAAGCAAGGATGTCCAAGCATAGTTCTTTTCTCTATTTTTTTTTATTCTTTTATGTTGTTATTAATTGCAACCAACCATTAAAATGATGATAGTGGTCTCAGGTTCCCATAAAATGAAATTTACTACTATGTGGCAATCTTTAAGAGAAGCTAGCCCTTATACTTTTCTAACAAACTCATAAGCTGGAAAAGTTTTACCCAAGTTATTACTTTATTGGCAATTTCTTATCAAATTCTTCCTGGTTGAGATTGAAATGAAAAATAGTCTTCTAAGTTCTAACATCAGATTTAGAGAGCACAAACAATCTCGCATAGTGATCATAATAAGCAAGATATTTACAATAAATTGAATGTGTGGTTTGTTGTAAATTGAATGATTAATTTATAGTACACCATACTTGCCACTATAATAATTTTTCTTACACTAAATATTAATTACGATAATAAATAGTAATTATTAAAACTAATAATTTCTATTTTATTTTACCCATTGATTTTATTTTGACAATAATCTTTTGCCCATTAATTTTATTTCCTATTATACAAAATGTTATAAAAATGATTTGACTTTTGACACAAAATGATTTGAGCACATGTAGGTAATTTAATTTGATATGGGCATACCATAGATGATTTAACTTGACATGGGCACGCTATGGGTGATTTAATTTTATATGGATACACGACAAGTGATTTAATTTGATATGGGCACACCATGGATGATTTAATATGATATGGCCACTGTTTCTAAAGTGATAATCTATGATGCAGAAAGACATGGTAGGAAAAGAGCCACCAGATTGGTTACCATGTGTATGATACTAGTTGATTGGTCACAAGTTTTTTTAGATATTATGTCTTCCGATATAATAATTGAACCCCTTTTAATATGCGTTGAGCTGAATTGCTTATTGCATTGGGTCGGGTATGATGCTGATGTTGCACCCTAGAGTCAGTATTCCTTTTTGGTGTTTTTATTTCTCATTGTGTGTATATGTTTCTAGTTTTATATTTCTAAATAAATGCGATTGGGCCATGGGTGGTGCAGATCCCAGATAATTAGTTTGTCAGAACATTAATTCAACTTTTATTTATGTGACTTCTACTTTGCATTTATGATTACTATTTATTCCTTTCATCCAAACAGGCAAAGGACTTAGGCTATGTTTGGTTTCGTGGATATTTATTGAAAAAACACCACCACACCAACGCTATATAGGCATTGGTGTTTATTGCATATAAAATCATTGTTTGGTTTCACCGTTTATCAAATAAACACTGAAAAACTGAAATGCTTTGATTTATGTGTATAGGGCATTTGGGGAAATGTCAAATTTTCGTTTCTCCCAATGCTACAACATTTTTTCAAATGAAATGCTTATGCGACATACTTTATGGGGTGTTAATTTGAAGTGGAAAATAAAAAATATTTAAAGTAATGCCCAACCAAACAACAAAAGCAAGAAACATTTAAAATAAAGTTATAAAAATAAATGTTTAAAGCAATAAATGAAAGAACCAACTAAGTTGTGTTCTACATCATCGTATGGCTATGCCCACTTCAAGTCAAGATAATCAAACTCAACCACAGGCATTTGGGATTGGAACCCAAATAGGAGGTTCTCAAAGTTTGGGCAAGCTTCTAATGTGACATCTTATGGTTATGGATATGGATATGAACATGGATATTGATGGTGCGCGATCTGAGCACTCCTAGCTGGCAGAGGCTGCGTTCCTAACTGGCACCGGACAAGATACTTGCGAGGAAGAAGGCGAAGGATTCCCGGGGAGCTCTCCCGGCGGGGACACTCCGATGCTTAAGTCAGAACTTGGTGGAGAGCTGAGAAAGAGAGAGTTGTAGAGAAATAAGCTAAGAGTGGAGATGCGCAATTTGCAATTACCTTTGCTCTTTGGGGGTTGGAGCTCTTATATAGCAGTGTCTTGTCAAATCAGGCATAACCGCCTCTGATTCTTTGCCGCAGCCGTAACTTGCCAGGGCTGCGCAGGTAACTGTTGCAGAGTACGGCCCTGCCAAGCGGAGGACACCTCTCAGGGTTGGCAGGCACGACGCTGCTTGGCGAGAGACGTGGGTTAAGGTCTCCAGGTTTGGCAGGTACGGTTGTCAGACAGATCTTCCTGTGATATGCCGAGCTGTAGGTGCCGTATCGAGGTGCCTCTACTCGAGGTGGCCTACTTAGGTTTGAGTAGGAATGAATTTATTCTAACTTAGGAAGCTCCCGAGCTCACCCTGAAGTGCCTTGAGCTCGGGAGATTCCTGTCTTGGGAGAACCTTAGCTCGGGATGCTTCCTTGGAAGAATCTTAGCTCGGGGTATTCCCTTCTTGAGGAGGAGCTCAGGGACTCCTTTACTTGGGAGGAACTCAGGACTCCTCACTTGGAGGGACCTCGGGGCGCTCCCCCATTGAGAGAGAGCTCGGGGTAATCGGAGTGTCATCTGGTACCGAGCTGCCATGCTGGATCTTGGCGGACTGCTCCCGCTGAGTTGTCACTTATGCTGAGTCATGTCCACGTGTCCTCTTATGATGAGGTCGGGTCAAATCACCCTCCATCAGATATGGATATGAACAATGCTCCCAAAAGAATTGATCAAGAAAACAATCAATGCTTTGTAGAAGATTTTAGGAGGTAGTATTATCAAAATGT